AGCCACTCACGTAGATCATCCAGGCTGCGTAGCGCTCCTTGAGGTTGTACAGCACTGCCGGCTCATGCAGGAAGGTCAGCATGGCCATGTCCTCAATCTTGTCAAACTTGGGTGGGTTCTGCTGCATCACCTGATCCTCCTTCACGGTCACCGTCTAGAGAGGAAATGGGTGGTAGGACAACCAAATTCCCAGCCTGTGCTTGCCAAGTAAGGCTCTGCTCCCCTAGCTCTTCCAGCATCAGGGTTCTATCTTCTAGCTACTATAGGACACAGTCCCCTGATAATTTTCCTGCTCACAGACTCTCTACCCTAGAGACTGTCCTAGGACCCTTTTATTTTGCCAGTTCTCCAGGCCCTATCCAATGATCATCATCCCCGTCCCTGTGTTTTAAATATCTAGAGGCAAACCTGGGTACTGGCAGCTCCAAGATACGTGCCCACCTTATGTGTTACCAGGAGTTGTCTCTTGGGGTCTGTGTTCCAGGGCAGTGTTTGCTCAAGGCAAGGGTTTTCCCTACTGGAAGAACAACTTACAGACCCTACACACCACATGTACCACTGTTGGTGTGGTTTGATTGGCATTAGTTAATTTGCCATGGCCTGACATATTAGATCCTGTCAGTAGGTATTGCAGCATTTTTTTATAGTGGTGGCTGTGGCTCTCAACAATTAAATGATTTGCCTTCACAGTGACCAGGTAGTGGCAGAGTCAGGATAAGAATCAAAGCAAGGGCCCCATGGGTTTTGGCCCGTTATCACACACCTCAGTGGATGCAACATTCAGTCAGCAATTCTGGGAGGCACACAGCTCTGAGCCCTGCCGGTGAGCTGTGGTGATTCTTGTGGCTAGAGTGAGCAAGCCAGGAGCAGGGGTTTCCGAGTGACAGTCACTGGCCCCAGTACTGAGATTTCAGCTCAAAACTTTCTGCTCTATGTTCATTTGGATCTAAGAGTTGGCTCTTGGTTTGTTTGAGGAGAATTTGAGAAAAGGAACCAGTAGAGGAAACTGAGGCACAGAGAGGAGGGGTGCAAGTGCCAGAAGGGGGAGCTTCTTTGTTTCTTTTCTTTTTTTTTTCTTTCTTTCTTTTTCAGTACCAGTTATTAAACCCAGGGGCACTAAATTGCTGAGCCACATCCCCAGTCCTTTAAGTATTTTTATTTAGAGACAGGGTCTCACTGAGTTGCTTAGACCTCACTAAGTTACTGAGATTGGCTTTGAACTCTCAATCCTCTTGTCTTAGCCTCCCAAGTGCTGGGATTATAGGCATGTGCCACCATGTTCTGTGGGACAGGGGAAAGGGGCTTCATTTAATGGTGTGTCTGTGCCTTATTTATCTACAAGACCTCTCTGAGGGGGAAACAGTGAACCCCCTGCACCCCTTCCAGCATCCTCTTTGGCAAGCGGTATGCATCCCTGGGGTGACATCCTGATGCATCTGCTCAGAGTCCTCTGAGAAGGCTCAGATGCTGGGCTGTTGAAGGAAATGACCTTGCATCCCAGCTCTCTCCTCAGGCCTTCAATTCCCACTATAGGTAGCTCCAGTCCTGCACTTCCCACCCCCCCAGGAACTTCCCCCCTGCCCTGACACTGTGCCCCCACGCACCTTGCCATTCTCGGTCTCAGCAGTGACCTTGCCCCCTTCCCGGGACACAATCTTGGCCTTGACAAACTCTTCCTTGTCATCTGGCACAAAGCACTCAGTGCGGATGTCAAAGGGCCTGGTCTGGGACTCCAGACGCTCCTTCTCTGACTTGCGGAGGTACTGGGCTGCTGCCCCAAAGTCAGCCATCTGGGCGTCAGTCATCTTGTCGCTCTTCTGGTCCAAGACAGGAGGGACCTGTTATTTCTGCAATGGGCCCAGACTTTGGTGGGTGGCCTTGTCCTTTTCACCCCTACCTCCTGCCCCACCTCTTTCCCATTGCTTTCCACCACAGCAATAGGCCCTTGCCTAGGCACATGCTGAACGCCCCCCCTCGCCCCCCCTCCCCACCCCTGTCCTGTCCTGGGAGTTCTGCTTTCCTTGCCCTCCGAGGTCACCTGAAGGTGGATTTCAAAAAGGGATTTCTGTAGGTTTGGGTTGACTTGAGTTTGCCAAGGGAAGGTGCTAAGCTGCTTAGGGGAGAGACCGAGGACCCTGGTCCAGTGACCTGGCAGGAGAAACCTGATCTGCTGTTTACAGAGGAAGTTGGGGGGGGGCGGTTCTCACCTGGTTATCTCTTCTCAGAGAATCCTGAAGAGTTGGGACCACAGGTGGACCGAGGCAGCCCAGAGGTGCAACAGGATAGAGAGAAGAACAGACAGGAGAATGAACAAGATATGCAGGCCAGCTGGGAAGAGGAGACTTGACCCAGAGAGCCAGACTGAGCAGAAGAGACCAAAACAAGGAGTGAGGCAGAGAGGGAGAATGAAAGAGCAAAACAGACGCAAAGGGGCTGCGGCTCAGGGGTCGAGCATTTGCCTAGCATGCCCCCCAAACTCCAGCATTGGGATGGGGTGGGGGTGGGGAGGGGGAGAGGGAGAGAGAGAGAGAAAGGAAAAAAAAAAGGGTGAAGAGTTAGTAAAAGCATGAGCCATGACATGTGGACACGGAGTGAGACACAGAGAGGCAGATTAGAACACAGCCAAGAGGGAAGGGCCAGGGAGAGAGCAGGTAGAGAAGCACCATCTAGACAAGGACTGGTAAAGACCAAGAAGCCTGATAAGATCAGGACCAAGGGAAGGAAAACACCCAAAGGAGGGGAAGGAGGCAGCGTGTGCAAGACTCAGAAAGGTGCAGGAAGAGAAATGGAGTCTGAGAAGAAAGAGGGCTGGTTTTGCAGTAGAAACACACTCTTGAAGGGAACTTCCTAAGCTGGAGGAAGGCAGCTGTAAAAGAACCCATGGGCCCCCCAGTGGACCCGCACCCTACTCCCAGGAAGACAGGAGCCCTCGAGGGGAGCTGTCTGCACCGGCTGCAGAGCCCTCATCCCAAACTCCCTCTTACCTGTGTCAGACGAGTCTCTGTGTGTCCACAGAGCTCTGGTTCCTTTATATCTCACTTCCCCCACCCTGCTGCCTAAATTTGGAGTCCTTCCGGAGGGACCCTCTCCTCCCACCTCTCTTGCCTCCTGGCTCCTCCTCCCTTGATCCCTTTGGCTCTGAAGGTGACAGGAGGACAGCAGGGCCCCCAGGTTTGCCCATGAAAGGTTCGTTGCCCTAGCCCCTCTGGTTCCAGGGCCTTTTTTTAGTCCTTGGACACATTCCTCCCCTCCAAAGGGCTGATGGGCAGATAGTGAGAAGACAGGACCATTTCGCACCACCTCCCCCATCCACCATGGCCTTTACCTCAGTTATTTTTAATCTGAAGGGTGAGTTGAACACACTGGGCGAGGGTCACCTTCTCTTGCAGGACAAATACTTGTCCCCTATCCCTCAGTCACAGGCCCCCCTCCTTGGTTCCCTACCCTCTGCTTTCTACATTGCCTGTCCTCACACAGCCTCAGGCTGAGAGCATCTCCCTACTCTCTCAAACCTGGAGTCCCACAGTTCTGGGGTCTGGGGGCTAGAACCAGGATGCCCAGAGAGGACATCAGCTCCCTGACTCAGTTTCCCTTCATCAGGAAAAGAATTTCTGTCCTGCCCTTACTCTGCCCAAAATGCTCTGCTTGGTTTCTATCCCTCAAGTCTCCAGCCAGGTGTTCTCTAGAGAACTTGAGGCTGCCTTGATTTGGGGGCACATCTGGGGCTCCCACCCCACTCCTGGTGCTTCTGGTACAGTGGCTGTCATCCAGCTCCCTCATACAGTGAGGTTTCTCCCACACAGCCTCAGGCAGACTTGCACAGAGACCTACAGTCTAGTACCTTCACATATAGACTTGACCAGCCATAAGTCCATGGCCATTTTCAGCCATACACATGCAGATTTTTCACTTACCCACTTAAGCTTGCAGATTTCCCTTCTTGCTTTTATGCACATTAATGCACACATTTGCCCACCAACATTTGCACACATAGGTTTTTTACTGTCCCACTGCCATCCTTCGTTCCTGGTGGAGAGGTCAGAGGCATTAATCCTGGGGCCTGAGGGAGGAGGGGTGGGGGTGGGGGGCTGCTCCCTTCCGCCTCTCTGTGCTGCCAGAGGGTGCAGGTGCTGCTGAGGATGGCTGGGGCGCCTGGCAGTCCTGGGGATTTACACCAGCTGGGCCCCAGGCTCTGCATTCCAGGGGTGTGGGGCTCTGCAGACGGCCCTCCACCCCAGGTAGGACTCTGGTGTCCCCTCCCAACCTTTCTGGAGCCCATACTCACATGGCTTTCTTCATGACGTCCTCAAGTGTCCAGGCCCTCAAGGCACCCCTCCCCATCCTCCGGTGTCGCCACCTCTCAGAGGCTGTAGGTATTGGGTCTTCAACAGGCCGTGCCTGTTATGACTAAGTGGACATTGTGTTCAGGAAACAAAGCCAGACTCCCCTGCTCTGGCTTTCCCCTACACCCTCACACCCAGGAACAATCTCCCAGCTCCCCCCTCCCACGCCATCTACTATCACCTCTCAATATAGCTCTAGGGTGTGGAGGTGGGTAGGACAGACAGGGGTCAGCCTCTCTGGGTAGGAGCACTCTCCATTAAAGATGTGACTTCCCCCCAAGGTCATCAACCCCCTAGGACACTTCACTGCCCCATTATGGGGATCAAGAACATACATCTCCCACCAGGGGAAATATTACCCTGTATTCAGTGTCCTTGAAGGGACCTGAGTTGATCCCACATCCTCATCTTCTGCAGGTGCATATGCCAAATTGTTATTCCCAGGGGATGCAGGCCACCTGTTCCCAGCTTTAGGTCACTCAAGGTGCCAGTATGCAAACTGGGGGTTAGCCCATGACCCAGTGCGTCACTGCCTGCTTCCCATGGCCCTGGGGACATGATAAGGGGCTGAGAACACCAGGTCAGGTTGGGTCAGGTCCAGGTGACAAAGACCAGGCTCTGTCCTCAGGGAACTCAGTGCACCGAGCATGCCAAACTTGGTATAGGTATGGATGGGAAGGGTGAAGGTGGGCAGGCGGTTCCTGTTTCTCCTATGGAAGGAGGAAGAAGGAAGGAGTTAACTTGGCTCCTGGCTCTACCCCCCTGTATGGTCTGGTTTGCCCTCCTCCTCCTTTGCTGGGCCCCCTCCTCTTTCCTGGCTCTCACATACTCTTCTCCATCTTTCTTCAGCTGCTTCCTAAACCAGCTCTGCATTCTGCTGGGAGTCCTGGAGTGTGCAGGCACAGGAGAGAGCCTCCAGCACAGGTGAGGGGGACCAGGAGGCAGGGTCTCCTTGGCGTGGGTAGCCCCTTTTCTGCCTGGTTCCCTGTGTCTGTCTGTCTGTCCCTGTGTCTGACCTTTCTTTCCCTCTGCCTGGTTTCCCATCTCAAAGTCAGCCCAGGCCTCTGCTTCTTCTGGGCCCATGTCTGCCTGTCTTGGGGTCTGACATGAGGTTTGCCCTGTCTAGGTCAACCTCTTAGAGCTCTCAGCCTGTATCTGCCTTTACATCTTGTTCTGGTTCCTCGTCTACCTCTCTCCTGCTTATTCTCCTCCTTGGTTTTCCTGACTCTTGCATCTGAAGGTGACCAAGGATTCTTCCCTTCACCCACTGTCACTTCCTGCTCTTTGAGCTTCTCTGTGTGAGGCTCCCCTCATTTCCTCTTCTCACCCATCCCCTCTCAACCTCCTCCTTCCCCCAGAGACTCAACCTGGGGCCTGCCCTTGACTTTGCTATCTGTACCCAGACTGGCAGTCTTAGCAGCATCTATAACTCTTGCTCTATTAGGTTCTAGATCTTAGATTCCCATAACTTTTCCATGTATTTCCATCTTCAAACGTGTCTTTCTTTTTCTCTACTCATCTCTTCATTACTCTCCAAGTCTGTTCCTAGGAAGGGGAGAAGTGAAGAGGGAGCCAAGAGGAAGCTGAGAGGGCTTGGGTTCCTTCTAAGGCTTCCTCATGTCTGGTCTCTCTTTTTTCCCCATTTCCACTGCTCATGCTGTCCCTGGGTTCTCCTTCTCTCTCTTGACAGTACCCCCTCAGCCCTTTCCTTTTTCCATCCCTGTGCCCTTTAAATGCCCTCCCCTCACCTGCTATTTTCAATACTGCTGTCCCCTCCTCCATGGCATAGTGCCCTTGCTCTGACTGCTTCACTTAGTGCTCAGAGTCCAGGGAGGACTGGGGAACAGGAACTGGCTGTGCATGGAGTATGTGTGTCCAGAGGTGGGGGTGAGGGATATTCAGTCCAAGGCTGACCAGGTTCCCAGAGGAGCTAAGGGTCCCATTGTCTCTCAGGCCCACAGTCCCAGGCCCACCCTAAGCAGCCCAGCTGTGGCAGTAACTCCAAGAAGGCTGGGCTTGCTTTCTTGAAGGGGCCCTTTCTCCTTCCTCCACCTCCCAACCCTCCAGGGACCTGTACCTTCCCTCCTCCTCAGCGTCTTGCCTATTGGCCTTCCCTAGTCCCTCCTCTACTCCTTCCTCTGCCTACTTACTCTTAAGAAGGCTTGCCATGCATGGGCCAAAGAACCCCATCTCCCAGCAGCTGCTTAAGGGCAAGGCCTTGAGAATGGAAGTTACAGTGGGGAAATAAGGGAGAAGAAAGGAGTACCTGGAATATGGGGCTGAGCCCTGGGACGAGAGAGAGAAGAAAGATAGCTATACTGAGGGTGCTTTTCTCCTGGCTGTGGTAGGGAGAGGCCTGGGCCCTGTGAGGGATGGTGTTGGAAGGGTTCGTGGACTACAGCCATGTAGAGGCTGTGTTCTCTGAGACATGCTAGGGGCTGCAGCATAGAGGGCCATCACTTCAACAGCCTGCGTGGCCCACACCTCTGTGTGGCACTGGTCAGCCCCTTCACGCTAAACCTCCTCCCCATGGCCCAGATCCAGATAATACCAGTGTCGGACGGTGTTGACTGGGGCTGAGGTGTAGGACTCAGTGTGTTCTAGGTGAGATTTAGGAGTTTCCCTAAAGTTCCTTTTACCCTAAGGGATGCTAGACCAAGAAGAGGGCTGGAAGAACAGGTGTCCCCCCTCTGTTGATTTGGCTGGGTGGGGAAGAAGATTCCATGGGCCAGTTCTGCTGCTAGGAGGGTTCAGAGCCTCACAGACTCCATGGAGAAGCCTCCTAGCCTGACTTTTGAAGCTGCCCCTCCTCCTCTAGAACCCTACCCCACTCCCATCTGGGCCCCATGGCTGTCAGGCAGTGAAGAACAGTCTAGAGGCAGGATCTCAGCTTCAAGGAAAATTGCTTTATTCTGCATCCTCCCAAGGGGCTCTTATAAAAGGCGCTGTGTCTGGGTCTTCATTGGCACCCCCAGGACTGGATAGATCAAGATGTGGCAAAGCTATTCCTCATTCAAGCCCTTTTGAAAAAAAAAAAACAAAGTCCAAATTAGCTCTGGAGAGACAGGCATTGTGGGCAGGGGGCACAGAAAACAAAGGTGAGACCAGGGCATGGATGGAAACCCTGAGGTGGGTTTCCACTATGAGTGGGAGCGGGGAGTTCTGGAGGGTCGAGCTCTGGGGTGGGCCAGAGGGAAGCTTCCTGGATGAGGACAAGGTGGTACTCTGGGATGTCCTTCTGATGCTTAAGTGGCAAAGTCAGAGGCCACTCATGTGGGAGGGAAATGAATCTAGCAGTTGGGGGCGGGGATTGGAATATGTTGGGTGTAGGTAAGTTGGGGTGTTGTAGGCTGGATGACCATCCTAGGGCTGGGATTTACAGGTCATTGAAAGTTAGAATCTTAGAAATCACAGGGAACTCAATTGTGTTGGCTTCTGGGGCTTTCTGGTTCAATTAGGGAATAAATGAAAAGGAGGCAGCCATGGGTATGTGGGTGCTCTGTCTGAGGCTGGAGGAGCAGGTGCACCTGCTGTTGGAGGCAACAAGTGCAGCTCAGGGGAGGGACCCACCTTGGTGCCAATGTCACGGCTCTTGGCCCGAAGCTTGTTGACCTGGGACTCAGCGATGTCGGCCCGTTCCTCTGCCTCATCCAGCTCGTGCTGCACCTTGCGGAACTTGGACAGGTTGGTGTTGGCCTGCTCCTCCTATGGGGAGTTGGGGGATGTGAGGATGAGGTAAGACGGGGCCTGGGCTCTCATCCTCCAAAGAAGGGGGCCAGCTTCCCTTGGTCCCTCCTCCAGGCCTTGACCCCAGCAGGGTCACTCACCGCCTCCTCAGCCTGGCGCTTGTAGGCCTTGACTTTGAGCTGTAGCTTGTCCACCAGGTCCTGTAGCCGCAGCAGGTTCTTCCTATCCTCTTCAGTCTAGGGGTCAAGGGTGGCAGAAGTGAGGCTGGTACAGTCATTAGGGGCAGCATCCTACCTCCAGCTTCTCTTGTCTTCTTTATCCTGAATGTAATATCCTGAACTGATTCTATTTTCTGATCCACACTAAACGCTTGAATTCTCCTTATAGTTTCTTATCCAAAAGTGTGAATATTGCCAGGTGTGATGGTGCATGCCTGTAATCTCAGTATCTCTGGAAGCTGAGGCAGAATTGTGAGTTCAAAGCCAGCCTCAGCAATTTAGCAAGGCCTTAAGCAACTCAGCAAGACCCTGTCTCTAAATAAAATATAAAAAGGGCTGGGGATTTGGCTCAGTGGTTAAGTGCCCCTAGGTTCAATCCCCAGTACCAAAAAAGAAAAAATATATTTTAAATGATGTGTACCAGGAAGGAATACAAGGAATGGATGGTGGGATTCCTGAAATCATGCCCTAAATTGTGTGTGTGTGTACTCTTCTATGGAGCAGGCTCATGAAGGTCAGGACCTCATAGAGGATAAACTCCCTGGCTCTGGAGCTCAGGAGTGACTTTGGGGATGTGAGCATGATGGAATTTCCTGAGCTGCAATGGAGTGATTTAATCTAGGTTAAGGACAAAGTGTATTTACAGGAATGGTGACATACTGGATTAGTAGAGAAACGAATTCTAATTGAGAGTCTGATTTTAGAACCATGGAAATCTGGAGGGTACTGTCCTGAGTAACTAAAACTTTGAGATTTGTTTGAAAGGCTTTGGTGTGGCTTTGGTATCTTTTGGGGTGAGCGAGGCTACACATTTGTTTCCCGGGGAGCTGTGCTGGGTGAGCCCTGTCTGGACCCCTGGGTGTATCCCCAAGGTATGGGTTGAGGGTGCATGTTGAGGTGGTGCACACAGGCTAGGAAAGTCAGAGACTGATGTCTGGGCCTGGGGACACCCTGGTGAGGCAGGGCTAGGCAGGCTGCACTCAACCCTTGCCCCAGAAAAGGTAAAAACAAACACTTCATTCCTTTGGGTGCTTGTCACTGTGGCTTAGCGCAAGGGCTAGAGTCACTGCCCTGCCCGCACCTGGTAGGTGAGCTCCTTGATGCGCCGCTCACTCTTCCTCATGCCCTTCACTGACTCTGCATTGCGCTTCTGCTCCACCTCCAGCTCATTCTCCAGCTCCCGCACCCGGGCCTCCAGCTTCTGCAGCTGCTTTTTGCCACCCTTGAGGGCGATCTGCTCAGCCTCGTCCAGCCGGTGCTGCAGGTCCTTGATGGTCTGCTCCATGTTCTTCTTCATGCGCTCCAGGTGGGCGCTTGTGTCCTGCTCCTTCTTCAGCTCCTCTGCCATCATGGCAGCCTGTGCACAGGAAAGCAGGGGTACATGGTGTGGTCAAGTCTTCACACCCTCACTGCCTAGCCCAGGGGACATGGGCCTGGAGTGGGTGAGCAGGGTGGGGGACTCACATCTGTGATGGCCTTCTTGGCCTTCTCCTCGGCATTCCTGCACTCCTGCACTGCCTCCTCCACTTCAGTCTGGAGCTGGGAGAGGTCTGCATCCATCTTCTTTTTCTGGTTGATGAGGCTGGTGTTCTGGGGTGGGTGGGGGACAGAGCAGGAAAGGCATTGAGCATCCCTGTGTGGCTCCTGACCTTACCAGCTGAGTCCTGCAGCCCCTGCTCTATCCAGGAATGCACAGGGGTGCTGTCTACCTGGGAGTGCAGCAGCTGCACCCGCTCGCTGGTCTCAATCAGCTCCTGCTCAGCCAGCTTCCGTGACCGCTCAGTCTGCTCCACCACGGCCCGTAGCTCCTCCAGCTCAGCCTGGAGCAGATTGTTGCGCCTCTCCACGATGGCGATGTTCTCCTTCAGGTCATCATTGGCGCGGACTGCGTCATCCAGCTGGATCTGGGTGTCCTGAGGGTTAGAAGAATAAGCATGAGATTGAGAGATGGCCTCAGTGTCTTCACAAGGCCCTTACGAACAGTAGCTTAGCAGGGACCTGATAAAGGTCTCTGCAATGACCGAGGGCAGGAGGGGGCTGGTGTCCCCTTAAAAAGGACCCATGGAAGCCAATCCCCTTTCTGGATGAGGTGACCTCCTACTTCCAAGAGTCTCTGTGTACCTTCAACAAGCTCTGGAGGCTCTTGACTTGCTTCTGGGCTTCAGCAGCCATGCGGTTGGCATGGCTGAGCTGGATCTCCATCTCATTGAGGTCGCCCTCCATCTTTTTCTTCACCCGCAGGGCCTCATTGCGGCTGCGTGTCTCTGCATCCAGGGAGGTCTGCAGCGAGTCCACCACCCGCAGGTGGTTGCGCTTGGCCTGCTCCATCTCCTCGTCCTTCTCTGCCAGCTTCCGCTCAATCTCTGCCTTGATCTGGTTGAACTCCAGCTGGGCTCGAAGGATCTTGCCCTCTTCATGCTCCAGGGAGGCCTGGGAGGAGGGTGGGGAGAGAGGTCTGAGGCTGACAGTTAGTGCCCAGGGTGTGTGTGGTGGGCTTCTGTCCACAAACCATGGATATAGAGAGTGTGAGAATGATGTAAGTGACTCAGTCAGAGAAGGAGAAAGAAGAAGGAAGAAAGAGAATGTACCAGGCAAATGAAAACAAGCCTAAGAAAAGGTGATTCAGGCCCTCACAGTGGAGAGCCAGGCATGAAGACAAAGAGGAAAATGACGAGAAAGGTGTTGCCAAGGAAACGGAGGCAATCAGGCACAGAGTGTTAAAAACACAAAGAGGCAGGCAGAGGCGGGAGGGGAGGTGAGTGGAAATGGGAACTCATCTAGGGTACAATAAGTGAAATGTTTGCATGGAGTTGAGCGGTCCCACATGCATTCTTTCCCCAAATATTTTTTGAGTGCCTGCTATGAGCCAGGCACTGTCCTGATGGGTCAGTGTGCAAAACAGACCAAGGGGAGATGAGAGCAGAGACTGCAGCCATGAGTTTGGCCTCTGCCACCCCTTCCCCACCCCACCCTATGCACCCACCTCAGCCTCCTCCAGGGCTGACTGCAGCTCCAGCTTCTCAGCCTCTAGCTGCTTGCGGACTTTCTCCAGCTCGTGGATACTCTTTCCACTTGAACCCAGCTGCTCAGTCAGGTCAGAGATCTCCTCTGTGTGAAGGACATGTGACTCAGTTGGGGACTGCTGTGGTCCAAAATGGGCTGGAGGCATGTCTCTTTGCTTAGGCCACCTTTGGGGTCCCTGGGCAGACCCTCCATGGGGACATTGCACATGTGGACCCTCCCTGCCTTGGGGATGCTCACCCTGCAGGTTCTTGTTTTCCCTCTTGAAGGTCTCCAGGTGCTCCAGCGACTCCTCATAGGCGTTCTTGAGCTTGAAGAGCTCGGTGCTGAGGGAACGCGCCTCCTTCTGCGAAGACTCCAGCTCGGACTGTGACTCCTCATACTTCTGCTTCCACTCGGCCAGGATCTGCAAGGGACGAGGCTCACTGTGCAGCCTCCGAATCCAGTCCCATGTCCAGGTGCTTCAGGCCCCTTGCCTAGGCTCAGCCTTCCTCCCCTGCCTCCGAGGAGGTGGGCTCTGGCCTTGCACTGGTACCATGCCTGTGGCCCTCCAGACCTGCACACTGGCTGTGGCCCCACCCATGACCCACCTTGTCAAAGTTCCTCTGCTTCTTGTCCAGGGCCGCGGCGGCAGCGTTAGAGCGCTCCACGTCCACCATCAGGTCCTCGATCTCGTTCTGCAGCCGGTGCTTGGTCTTCTCCAGGGAAGAGCACTTGGCGTTGACGGCCTCCACGGCCTCCTCTGCATCCTGTAGCCTCTGGGCCAGCTTCTTCCTGCCCAGCGAAGGGTGGGAGAGGATGAGGAAGAACGAGGGTGTAGATTTGGACAAGAGAAAACAACATGAACCGTTCAGAAGATAACCTTGAAAACTTAGAAGTAGTGTTCAGAGAAGCCTAAAGACAGGCCCCAGGGACTGAGAACTGGGCAGGCAGAGTATCTCAGTGGCAGGCGTGGAAGACCTGCAGCACCTGGGAGGGGTGGGGGTGGTGTCCCTCTGTCCCTAGACAAGCCTCTCGGCTGTGATGTGGAGGGGGCATGGGCTTCTGCAGACCCTCCCCTCCCACACCACAGTGCCCCGCCCCATGGGAGCACTCAGCCCTCAGACAAACCTTTTGTTCGTCTTATATTCGGATGAGAAACATAACGCGAGCAAAAAGCTTCCCCGAGAGGAGCAGGAGGTGGGGCTGGGGCAGGGTCCTCCTCTATTGTCAAACACTAGCTAAACATCCCCTGTGTGGAAGCTACTAAGAAGAGGACTTGGCAGAAAGTCCTGACCTCAAAGGGGCTTCAGCCAGAGGCCAGCTGATTGGGACTCACTTGGCCTCCTCCAGCTCCTCTGTTCTCTGGATGGCATCTGTCTCATACTTGGTCCTCCATTGGGCCACCTCTGAGTTGGCCTTGGATAGGACACGCTGCAGCTCAGCCTTGGCCTCTGTCTCTTCCTCATACTGTTCCCGCAGCAGGTCACAGTCATGCCGGGCCGACTGCAGTGCGTGGGCCAGGGCGTTCTTGGCCTAGGGAGAGGTGGACACCAGAAGCAGGGTCAGCTTCATCCATGAGGCAACACCAGCCCTTGCCCATCTCCTCACGCCAATCTCAACTTGCTCCCTAGGCTTCCCCAGTGGACCTGGCACATTTTGCTGAGTATTAATAACAATGAGCGCCAGTACGATGGCAGCCATCTCACCACTGCAACTTATGGGGGAAAGAGAGACTCAGAGAGGTCAGGAGGTTTCCCCAAGATCACCAGGCTATACGAGGCAGGTTAGTATAGAGCTCTGGTGATTCTTTAACTCAGATTCTTTTCCTTTTTTCATAAACTCAGCAAAGTGCTAGGAAAAGGTCCAGTTTAGTATCTTTCTTCAGTTTTCAGATGGTCCCACTAATCCCAGGACCCATTCACGAAGTCCCTGCATCCCATACCTATGCCCAGCCAAGGCCATAACCTGCCTCCCTACTTTATTTTCTTGCCACCTCTTCACCCCCTATCTTCCACCCAGGGATGGCAGCAGAGAGGTTCAGGGCCCTGGCCTGGGAAATGGAGTTAGAAAGCATGTGGTTGGGTTTGGGTTATTATTTCTTTTGGGGATTCTCAGACACTAGAGGATAGACAGCAAGCTTCATTCTTGGGAAAGGAAGGGATGCAGATGCAAGGCCAGTTGGTGTGCCTCTTGCTTGGGCCTGGTTGCTGGAGTCCAGGCCTCACCTTAACCTCCTCCTCCAGCTGCCTCTTGAGGTCCTCCAGCTGTTGGGTGTAGGTGAGCTTGCCTCGGGTCAGCTGGGAGATTAGTGCCTCCTTCTCATCCAGCTGCCGGGACAGCTCACCTGGGGAGGCACCAAGGCACTCTCAACTCTTGAAAGTCAGCCATTCCTCTCTCTCCCCAACCCCTCCCTAACCCTCAGGTCCCATTTTCTGGAGAGACGCTATGCATGTGCATGTGAAGGGTGTATGTACCTGAACCTGTGGTGGCTCAGGAGGCCCAGACACTGGGATCCAGGCTTACCATTCTCAGTCTGCAGCTTGGCCCGCTGGCTGGTGAGGTCATTGACAGAACGCTGGGTCTCCTCAGCCTTGCTTCGATGCTCATTCATCTGGTCCTCTAGGGTCCGGCACATCTTCTCCAGGTTTGCCTGAGAGAGGGATGAACAATGCATGGATGTTGGGGGTGGGGGCTGAAAGGAGTGAAGGGGAGCAATTAAAGGAGAAAAGAAGAGGGAAAGTACGGAAGGGAGGAGGGGATTAGAGAACCATGTAGAAGAAGGCGAGTAGGAAAAGGAGCCATCAAGGAAGAAAGAAAAAAAAAGGGGGAAAAGTGGTGACAGGTAGAGGGTCCTGGAGGAGGGGACTGGTGGAGCTGGGCTCACCTTGGCCTTGATGATCTGCTCCATGTTGGAGGTGACATCGTCCAGCTCCAGCTTGAACTCGCTCTTCTCCTTCTCCAGCTTCTGCTTCACCCGCTGCAGGTTGTCGATCTGCTCACCCAGCTCGGCCACACTGTCAGCGTGCTTCTTGCGCAGGGCTGCGGCTGTGGCCTCGTGCTGCAGCGTGGCCTCCTCCAGGTCCCTCCTCATCTTCTGGAACTCGGCCTCTCGCTTCTTGTTCATCTCGATCTGCACAGATGTGGCCCCTCCGGCCTCCTCCAGCCTCTCACTGATCTCCTCCAGCTCTCGGGACAGGTCTGAGCGCAGCTTCTCCACTTTGGCCCTGGCCGTGCGCTCAGCCTCCAGCTCCTCCTCCAGCTCCTCAATGCGTGCCTGGGCCCAGATGTGAAGGGTTTAGACCACCTGCTTGGACCCCTCCATTGGGCCCTCACCCCAAGGCTCTAAGACTCCTAGCCCGCTAGGAACATTAAGTGAGTTTAGCTCTACTAGAGAGGTGGGCATGAAAGCATTTGGGGAAGGTGGCTTGAACAGCAGAGTTAGCCTTCCTTTGGGTGGATGCTATACATTCTCTTTATTGAAAGGAAAGCAGTTGAAGCTTGATCTTAAAGGACAAAGAGGTCTAGGGCATTTAAATCAGTTAAAAGAAAAAAAAAAAAGACCAAAGTTTAAAAGCAGTATCTGTCTTATTAGACAACTGTAGATCTAACTCAGTGTCTGCTGTTGAGATAAGAACCTCAGAGTTCACTGTCGGTGTTGAAAGGCTCTTAACAGTCACCGGTAACAGGGGAAGGCATGGAGACCCAGAAATCTGGAGCAGTCTTCCCATATTCACCCAGCTAAGGCTGAGCTGAGACAGGAAACCAGGATTTCTACCCTCCAGACGTAGACCTTTTCAGGGTCTCTTCTGATGTTTTCCTTGGATCACACAGCCCTTTTAGGGGACACTGTGATAGCTTTGTGTGTCCTTTCATGAACACAAGGTAAGCTCCTATAATTCTCAGGGATGGGACATTCTGCAGGAGGGAAGCAGGGAGGCTGAGAACCAACTCAAAGACTGCAGAGTCCAGCCTAGGCTTTCTAGACCTCACCTGAAGCTCTTTGAGCTTCTTCTGCAGCTGGCTTCCCAGGGCCTGTTCATCTTCAATCCTGGCATTGAGTGCATTCAGCTCAAAGTCCTTCCTGTAGGGAAGAATTGAGGGTGAGGTAAGGCTAGCTGTGCTCTCTAGAGGCCCAATAGCAATCACTGGAGATTACAATGAAACAAATAGAGAATAGGATTTAATCAGAAAATTGTCCAGGGGTATGTAGGATCCCTGAACACCTGCCATAGGATTGAAGTCCAACAATAATGTAGTGGGAATAGCCTGGTAAACTGGGCTCTGTGGGTCTTTCCTCTCTTTTTTTCTTCTATCTGAAAAATGAGAAGATTGGACTAGCTCATTTTTAGTTTGTCATTGTTACTTTGGACAACTTGTTAACCTTTATGAGCCTTAGTTTCCTTGGTAGGACTCAAGATACCATCTTTAAAATGTGGCTGAAGATGGCTGGGGAGGCTGAAGCAGGGGGATCATAAGTTCAAAGCCAACCTCAGCAACTTAGAGAGGCACTAAGCAACTTGGAAAGACCCTGTCTTTAAATAAATTATAAAAAGTTCTGTGGATGTGGCTCAGTGTAAGTGCCTCTGGGTTCAATCCCCAGTACCAAAAAAAAAAAAAAAAAAAGGTGGCTGAGGAACTAATGGAGTCCTAGATTGATTCATTCATTCAGTAAATTCTGCACCTGGGAAAGTGAGAAGACCCCTGTGCAAACACAAGTTGAGGTACCATAAGATCTTCAGGTATCAAAATATGTTATACAACTCACCATTCACCAAGTCTGGAAGGTGGGTGTGTATACTTTGGGAGGATTTGAAATAATTGGGACCACAAGTTACTCAGAAAAAGAAATGAACTGGCCCCTCCACTTCTTGGGCATGTGGGCAGACTCATTTCTTTGTAGCTTTCTGGGTTCTCTCTGAAAAACCTAAAGGGACTTTCCTGAGAGATCTTGTGTGACGGCTTCCTCCACGTCAAGGAACTGATCTCAAATAGAATCATGTACAAAAGGGACCAAGCACTTGTTTTCATCCCTACTGAGTGCCCCATAAGAAGAAAGGGCTTGAGGGATCCAGGTAAAACTTTTTGCCAGGGAGGACAACAAGACCCTGATGTATGGGTCTTGGGGAGCACAGCCCTCTTCCAGGGGACCTTTGCTGAAGTTTAAGCATCTTGTTATGGACGCTACCTGAGGGCGTTGCCTCTCAGGTTGGGTGTCAGCTTGTCTTGCTATGGGCAGAGCAGGCTGTAGGGCTGGGGAGGAGGAAAGGTAGTGAGGAGCAGAACATTGTACTTTTTTAGCCGCTCATCTAGCTGCTGCTTGTCATTCTCCAGGTCCATGATGCTCTCTTGGGTCAGCTTCAGGTCACCCTCCAGTTTCCTCTTCGCTCGCTCCAGATCCATGCGCACCTTCTTCTCCTGCTCCAAGGATCCCTCCAGCTGGTGAAGACAAGGCCCAGCCATGCCCCATGAGGTCAGGCACCTGACTTGGTGATTTTGTAGCTCAGTTACTCCACATTTGGGGAATCTTAGGGGAGCATCCAAGACTTGGAAAAACTTCCCCAGAGTGGGCCAAATGTTCCCAGGGATTGTGAGAGCACCTACCACGGAGAGACTGCTGGACACATATTTAAGGAATGAAGGAATGATTGTGGGACAAAACCTCAAAGCTATGTTCATTCATTCAGCATCGTATAAGCACTTACTGTTGCCAGGCTGTGTGCTAGGCTCTGCAGACACAAGTGTCTGTATAAGTTCCTGTCTAAAGGGAGCTCTCAGTCTTGAGCTATGACAGATATTTAAATAAGTATAAAGTGAGAGGACATCCATAGGCCATATATACCCATCTGAGAGAACAGTGATCACTCATGATCAGATCTGCCAAAAATATCAGAAGTGAAAGGATCCTCCTTGAGGAGCCTCACAAAATTCTCAAAGACATGTATCATAGTCTTACCAGAAGTCCCCTAAATCCTGTGGTCAAAGGAAGAGATATATGGGCTTAAAACTAAATTAAATAAGAAAGTCCATCTCTATCATTGATCATATCAGTGGGATTAGATGCATAATTCAGAATGGATCAACCTCTTCGTTTCCTTTTTCCAGTTTCCTTCAGGAAGGTATCAGGAGAGTGAACTTCCTCCAACACTTCCCTCCCAAAATACACACACAGCCACACAACCACACCCTTCGAACACAGATGGACATTTTATATCTAGACCCTGTCACTCTGAGTCTACTTACATCATCCACCTGCTGCTCTAGCTTGACTTTGGCTTTGGTCAGGGTGTTGACCTTGTCCTCCTCAGCCTGAAGGTCATCCAGGGTCTGCTGGTGGGCCTCTTGCAGAGCTTTCTTCTCCTTGGTCAGTTTGGCAATGATCTCATCCAGCCCAGCCATCTCCTCTGTCAGGTTCTTCACCTGTCAATCCCAAATCCCAGCCCCTTTAAGGTCAAAGGTCACTGGTCTGGAGACATCTCGGGGGACCTCCATGTTAAGGACCAGGACCACATGCTGGCCTGGGAATCCTGAGGAGACCTGGGCTGGAGTCAGAGGGAGCTGCCCTCACCTTGTTCTCTGTTGCGTGCTTCTCTTTCTCCACCTTGGCCAGTGTCAGCTCCAAGTCATCAATGTCCCTTTTGAGCTCAGAGCACTCATCTTCCAGCTTGCGCTTCTTGGCAGTGAGCTCAGCATTCATCTCCTCCTCATCCTCCAGCCTCTCGGTCATCTCCTTCACCTTGGCCTCCAGCTGGATCTTGTTCTTGATCAGCTGGTCGCATCGCTCCTCTGCATCAGCCAGGTTATCTTGTTCCTGAGGGTAAGGCACAGAGGGGAGGTTGTTTAGCAGGCAGAGTCCTTGTCCTCGTGGTTAAATGAAGGGAAAGGTACATCTCTCAAAGAGGAGTGGAGCTCTAAGGTATTCTCAGTTGAGTAGAGTCTTGGAAGGATAGGAAAGGGAAGAGTTTTAGAAAATGTGAGTTGGGAGTATTGGGCAGAGGAGGAGAGAATGAGGAAGCTAGGTATCTTTATTTGTCTCTCTTTCTCTAGACTTCTCCATTGAAGAAAGGGAACTGCATTTGCAGTTGCCAAACGCTTTTATGTATTTACAATGTATTGAGATAGGCAGATTTATTCCATTTAGAGATGAAGAAATTGAGGCTCAAAGATGACTTGTGGGCTGGGTGTGGTGGCACACTCCTATAATCCCAGTGACTTGGGAGACTTTAAAAGCCGGTCAGCAATTTAACAAGACCTGAGCAACTGAGTGAGACCCTGTCTCTAAATAAAATATAAAATAGGACTGGGGATGTGGTTCAGTGGTTAAGTGCCCCTGAGTACAAAAAAAAAAAAAAAAGATTTGTGGTTTCCTTAAGGTCATAAAATTATTAAGCTGTGGATCTAGACTGAACTCAGGAAGAAAGCATATATATTTTAAAATTAGTTCTTTTACCCTTTCCTCCTCCTAAGGGACCATCTTGGGGGTCTTTGGAAATAAAATATTTTGCCTTTGAAAGGACAAGATGGTGAGCCCCTGTGTGGGGAGGGGTAGAGTTGTGGGACATGTGGGAAGAGAAAGGCAGAAGGGCCAATAATGGCCCAGGAACCTCACCGCCTGCACTTGGAGCTGCAGGTCATTCTTTTCCTGCAACAGGGACACCATCTTCTCCTCTAGTTCCTTCCGGCGAGCCTCAGACTTCTCCAGTGCATCTTTGATGCGCCCGAACTCCTCCTTCATAGTAGCCATCTCCTTCTCTGTCTCTGCGCTCTTCAGCAGTGGCTTGATCTTGAAGTAGAGCTTCATCCACGGCCAATTCTTGACTCCCATGAAGGCCCGAATGTTCCACTGGATTATTAGCAGGGAGTCTCTGCAAGGGCCCAGCAAGAGGAGTGGTGAGAGAGCCTTCCTGACTCCTTCCCACCTGAGGCCCTGACTCCTAGGTGACACCCCCTTTTCTCCATCCATTCCACCCTTCCTAAGGCCCTTCAACCCTTGCCTCTATTTTTGAAGACCCAGTGAGGTCTTTCTCTTGACACTGCCTTTGAACCAGCCTGGGTCTCAGAGAGGCTGGGAATGTCCTTTTGAGATCTCTCACCTGCGTTCCAGCAGCTTCTTAAACTCCATTCTGGAGAGGACACCCCGGGACTGTGCCTGGATGCGTGTGATGATGCGGCTCAGCCTCTCATCTCGCATCTCTTCCAGCAACCCCAGCAGACCCGCTTTGAAGAACACCTGCAGAGAAAGTGTGTGTCGGCCATTACTAGAAGGATGTATGAGGGAAAAGAGGTGGTGGAGATGATCTTGGGAAGGGCAGCATTTAGAAATTAATTGAAGGGAGGAGGTCAGTGGTATTTGGAACTGGAATGGGAGAGGTGTTTGCTGGGATGGAGAGCATTTGAACCACAGCACATGGTCCAGAGTATCCCTAAGATGATTGGCAAAAGTAGTCAAGAGGTGAGGAATCAAAGGACAAGAGACATCTTCCTTTAAATAATTTGTTTCTTGCTTTTCCTCACCTTGGTGTGTCCAAACTTATACTGGTTGTGGTCAATGTCCAGAGAGCTCAGCAGTTTCTCTGCCCCTTTCCTGCTGTCAATGAACTGTCCCTCAGGGATGGCTGCTGGGTTCAGGATGCGATACCTGGGGAGAGGATTGCTGGGGTCACTGCACTGTACATAGATTCTGCTCTGCCTACAGAATTCTAAGGATGTCTGCAGACTCCTGCACTCTGGGGCACATCTGTACCCACCTCTGCCGGAAGTCCCCGTAGAGGATGCGGTTGGGGAAGCCCTTCCTGCAGATGCGGATGCCCTCCAGCACGCCGTTGCAGCGCAGCTGGTGCATGACCAGGGGGTTGTCCATCACCCCTGTGGCAAGAGGGGAAAGCAGATTGTGTAAGGAGAGCACTGGGATAAGAGCCCAAAAGTTCTGGGTTCTGATCATGGCCCTGGCACTTATTAGCCTGTAACTTAGCAGCAAGTCAGTTAATAATAATCCTCCATTTGTTTCATTTTTTTCCCCTAGCATACTTTTAGGAATAACCAAAGGCTTTCACATTTTTTTTAAATATGGCTTATACCTGTTTTCATAGGTGGTGGTCAGGACAGCTATATTCCATTTTCTGGAGGAGAAGGCTAAAGCCAAATGGATTAAATGACTTGCCAAAGGTCCCAGAGCTGATCAAGATCAGAGCCAGGCCTTGAACCCAGGTCCCTGAGCTTCTTTCTGTCTCCTTACAGATAAAAATGGATAGACAGAACTGGGTGCAGTAGCACACACTTGCAATCCTGGCTACTTGGGAGCTGAGGCAGGAGGATCACAAGTTTGAAGCCAGCCTGGGCAACTTAGTGAGACCCTCTCTTAAAGTAAAAATAAAAAGGGCTGGGGATAGAGCCCAGTCAAAGTGTGCCCCTGGATTCAATTCCTAGTGTTGCGTATACACACACACACGCGCACACACGCACACACACACACACACACACACTGGATAGACAGTTCTTGAATTTCTCGTTTTAGGGTTGAAAGTCACTGATGAGGTGATGTCCATCAAAGTGCTATCCAGAATTACACATTCCAAACATAAGGTAGCACCGGGAGCTGGTGGTCTGGGAGACCTCACAGAGGATAGGAGAAGAATGTCATTTGGAAAGAATAATGGTGGTAGATTAGGAGATGACTTATAGGGGCCTGTCCCTGGCCCATCCATGGGCTGGCCTGAGTGCATGGCTCACCTGGGGACTTTGTCTCATTGGGGATGATGCAACGCACAAAATGGGGGTGGGTGGAGCGGAGGTTGGTCATTAACTTGTTCAGATTTTCCTGTGGCAGAAAAAACAAGAGGGAAAAGTAAAAAAAAAAAAAAAAAAAAAGAGTAAAGAAAAAGAAGTAGGAAAGGAAGAGATGGAAGAGAAAGAGAGATGAAGAGAATGCAAGAGGATGAAAAGTGTGGGAGGCAGACGGAAATGAGAGGTGAGATTAGAGGCCATTAGATGACAGGAATTGATGACCAAGAGAAAGGACCAAGAATGCATAGGGGAGACTTGGAGGGAGAGGAATTGGAGATGAAGAAGGCAGGGAAGGGCCAGGGCTGTGTGGGGGTTGGGGCACCACAGTTGATAGGGAGCCATGATGAATCAGAGCTGGGGCCATACACTTACCCTGTGCAGAGCTGACACAGTCTGAAAGGATGAGCCTTTCTTGGCTTTGCCTTTGCCCTTTTCAACAGCTGTGGGAAAGGGAGACAACAAAAGTAAGACCATTGGGTGTGTGGAGAATCGAGGCATGGGGTGAAGAATCACAGCTTCTCTTCGCATCCCACTGGCCGACCCAGTCTTCAATGTAGTCACCTCCACCCACTTCCATCCCATTCAGTCTGTAAACCTTCGGGCGGGAAACAGTGTGGTGTAGCAATTGACCTGTTTCAGAAGCATGGCAGAAACTGTTCCTTAGTCCCCTGGGGTGCCTCCATCTCTACTTACGTGCATCAGCCCCGGCGTAGTTGGCAAATAGGTTGCTGAGAAGCTTGAGGGAGGACTTCTGGTACAAGCCCACCACTGTCTCATTCAGTGGGTCTTTGTTCTTCTGCAGCCAGCCCAAGATGTTGTAGTCCACGATGCCGGCATAGTGGATCAGGGAGAAGTGGGCTTCCGGCTTCCCCTTGATATTGCGTGGCTTCTGGAAGTTGTTGGACTTGCCCAGGTGGTTGTCATAAAGCTTGGCCTTGAAGGTCATGTCAGTGGCCTTGGGGAACATGCACTCCTCTTCCAGGATGGACATGATGCCCATGGGCTGGGGGTAGAGGGGAGAGCATCACTGAGTGTGCATCACACAGTGGAAATGGATTCTGCTCCACTGTCAATATTTGCTCATGGAGACGCCCCTTGTTGTATCAAGGTATTAGGCTCAGTTCTGAGGACAGTCATCTATCGACTGGCATCTGCTCAAGTTTTCCACAATGGAGAATTTTATTGATGACCGAGGGACCCTAGTGAAAATCTTGAAATGTGGCTGCTGTTTGGGCTTTACATATCACTCCATCATCTAGATCCCTGAGATGCCAGGGTTGAAAATAAGTGTACTTTTATGAGCCCCCCACCATGCTACCCTTACATATCCTGATCCTTGGGTATAAACAAGGGCCATTAAACACTCTAGTGGGGAAGTGTCCTGCAGGTGTCCATCATCCATGTGTCCACTCCCAAGCCCCTGGAAACTCAGCTGTTTCAGATGCCTCCCTCTCCTGGATAATAGGACAACAACAGGGCTCTGGAAACTTGGGCTTGGGACTCTTCAGCCTCACTTCTATTAATTATTCCGTTCACATTCCCCTAAGGGAGAGGGGTTGCTGCTTTGTCTGATCTAGCAGAGGAGGGAGACACAGGTTGCAGGGCCAGGCACCTTCTCGATGAGGTCGATGCAGGCCTGCAGGTCCATGCCAAAGTCAATGAACTCCCACTCGATGCCCTCCTTCTTGTACTCCTCCTGTTCCAGCACGAACATGTGGTGGTTGAAGAACTGCTGCAGCTTCTCGTTGGTGAAGTTGATGCAGAGCTGCTCAAAGCTGTTGAACTGCAGGCAGGGAGGGGCAGGAGCAGGTCAGGCAGGCAGGTGTCTGGGTGGCCACGGGGGTCAGCCCAGAGCTGTGCCATGCACCATGCCCAAGCCCAGCAGGGGTGGGACTGGTCCCCTCCCAGGTCAAGGCAGGGGAAGGAGGGCTTGCCCTGAGGACAGAGACAATGACTGCCCTGTCAGTGCCACTGCCTTTCTGTGCTTGACCCATAGCTGGCCCTCCACAAGTGACTGTGAGTGTGCAAGTGGCTCCCTGGCTCACATCAAAGATCTCGAAGCCAGCGATGTCCAGGACTCCTATGAAGTACTGGCGTGGCTGCTTGGTCTCCAGGGTGGCGTTGATGCGTGTCACCATCCAGTTGAACATTTTCTCATACACCGCCTTGGCCAGTGCTCCGGTGGCATATATCACCTGTGAGGTAGGGGAAAGACCCAGATGAACAGACTTACCAGGAGGAAGGAATTTGAAAGCTCCCACCTCTCCATACTAAGATCCCCACCCCATCCATTTTATCTTCTGAAAATGACCCACCTGCTGGACATTCTGTCCCTTGGTGACATACTCATTGCCCACTTTCACCCGAGGGTGGCACAGCCCCTTGAGCAGGTCAGCTGAGTTCAGCCCCATAAGGTAGGCGGACTTGTCAGCCTCTAAAAGGAAAAGTCAAGTAGCAAATTTGGTAAGGGCTCGACTGCTCAGCACATGTGGCCCTCAGTGACTCTGCCCAGCTTCCCTGACTCCCACCTTCAGTGCCATCGGGCTCCGCCTGCTCCTCCCGCTGCTTCTGTTTGAACTTCATGTTTCCAAAGTGCATGATGGCGCCTGTCAGCTTGTAAATGGAGCTCTTCTCTTCTGAAGTGAAGCCCAATACATCAAAGGCATTCTGCAGGCAGACCCCAAATTGGAGGAGCCCAGAAAAGGAAGTATGACTGGTAAATGAGATCACTCATAAATTGGAGAGAACTTGTATTCTTAATCCCTGAGGGTTCCCAGACGCCCACGCCCCGCAGGGAACTCCAAAACAAAGATGGAAGATTGGAGAGCAGGGTGTGGCCTGGCTCCGCCCACTCTCAATAGTCCTAGGTTTTTTCTGGAGCTGTACCCACTTATGTTTCTAGTGGCTGCACTTGCTCCCCTGCTGGCCTCCCACACCTTCTGTAGCTGTTCTTTACCTAATAGCCTTCCTCAGCCCCGTGACTCCCTTTTCCTTCTCCTTGGTGATGCCTTATTTCTTGCCTTGTCTGCCTCTGTGTCCCATGGCTTTCAGCCCTCTCTTGTTTGATTGAACGCCAAATACTGGCCTGGCCTGTCTCATCTCACACATATCCCAGCATACCCTGGTGACAGGGCACATTCTGGCTATCAGGGAGTCTATACAACAGACAGCCAATGTCTTAACTTTATTCCTCAAGTGGTGAACTGGCCAATTGTGCCCCTGCTGCCCATTTTCCGCCTTTGCCTTGGTCCTCACACACTTACATCAGTGGCCATGAGCTCTTCAGAGTCATCGATTGAGGCCACGGTGGTCTCTCCTTGGGAGATGAATGCATAATCATAGGGGTTGTTGGTGATCAGCAGCATGTCTAGGAGGGTGGAATGTGGTCTGAATATGACACAAGCCCCTGGCTTTCATGGGGGCTGCCAGCCATGCACATAGCCCTGGGGCAACACAGGATAGGGCTTGTCTTGGCTCTGCATTCCACAGAACTGAATCTAACAGTGCGGTGAAGCCCAGGGCATGCTAACTGAATCCAGCCACAAGCAGCAGGGACCAGGTTGCCATGGAGATAGCTGGTCTCCTTTGGTGGCTCTGACTCACCCAGCAACTCAGGCTTTTTGTTAGACAGGATTTGGTAGAAAATGTGATAATCTCTCTCTGCTTTCAGCTGGAAAATAACTCTGGATTTTTCCAGAAGGTCTGTGAACCGTCAGACAGAAGGAGAGAAAGGAAAAGGTTAGATTTTCAGATACAAGAAAAAAGAGGAAGATAAATGATAAACGTAGCAAGCGAAAGTCAGAGGGGGTGGACTGGCATGGTACACAGAGCTCACACTCACAGAGGAAGACAAAGACCCAAAAGGAGAGGGATCATCTCAGACAAAAATCCCAGAAAAACATACACAAATGTACAGAGTCAGAGACAGATAAAGACCCAGAGCAAGTCTCAGGGAAAGACAAATATGCAGTCCTAGAGACACAGACGCATAGAGACAGACAGGAAGAGAGGAGAAAAACAGAGTTGGGGTGGGGAGATGAGATGATCAAGGACAAATTTGCTGAGCCCTAGCAAATTCTTGGTACTCACAGGTCTCTATGTCTGCAGATGCCAGTTTCCCTGTAGCTCCAAAGTGGATTCGAATGAATTTCCCCTGAAGAGATGGAGGAGGGTGGTGATGAGTTGGGGGAAGGCTCATACTTGAGGCCATCCCTTCAACTCAAGTCCCAAGCTCAAGGTCAGGGACCACTCACAAAACGGGAAGAGTTGTCATTCCGGACAGTCTTGGCGTTGCCAAAGGCCTCCAGAGCAGGGTTTGCCTGGATAATTTGATCCTCCAGGGTACCCTGAAGAGTCAAGGAAGAATGGCAGATTAGAGGCTGCCCCTCCCTTTCTTCAGCGCAAACCTTGGAGGACACCTGGCCTACCTTGCCTGGGTTCTGGTCCTTTTTGCTGCGGTCCCCAATGGCGGCGATCACAGCAAAGTACTGGATGACCCTCTTGGTGTTGACCGTCTTCCCAGCTCCGGATTCTCCGCTGTCAGGAGAGTCAGGGGCTCATTAGACAGAGAACAACACTGCTTGAGTGAGGAGAGAATGTCTGTCTGTTTTTTGGGTTTTTTTTTAGATCTTTTATTTTATTTATTAATTTAATTTATATGAGGTGCTGAGGATCGAGCCCAGGGTTTCACACATGCCAGGCAAGCACTCTACCACTGAGCCACAACCCCAGCCCAGAGAAAATGTCTGTTTTATAGGACCCCTGAACAGGAAGCTGCTGGATAATAGGTACCCAAAACACACAACCGTCTTCAGACATTCATAGGGTTAGGGGTAACAGCCGGGCACAAGGAGGCGCTGGGTTTGGGCAGGTTGAGCCCATGCTTGATGGGGCAAGGTCAGTAGGAGGAGATAGGCCTCGGGTGTTTTAGAAAAGAATGGATGGGGCTTAAAGAATGAGGAAAGTTCCTGAAGGAAAAGATGAAGGAAAATGAAGAGGAGGAGAAGACATGGTAGCAATAATCTTATGGGTGAATGGTGAGTTAGAGGAGAGTAGGCAAAGGAGATGAGAGAGGAAAAATAGGAGAGGGCTGGGGAGAAGAAAATAAGAGGAGAAAGCAAAGAGAAGGGTCAGGGCAAAGATCAGAGAAGAAAAGGGAGATGAGCATGAAGGCAGAGGAGAAGAGGAAGGACTATAGTGCTCTGGGTCCCTGCTGGGGCTGGGCTTAGGAATTCTGGAAGGGAACAGTGCAGGACTACACTCACGTGATGAGGATGGACTGGTTCTCCCGATCTGGAAGAGAAAGAGGAGAGGCAATGCAGTGAGGGCTGAGGGCTCAGCTGGGGGTTGGGTGGGCAGGCACAGGGCAGGTGCAGGGCTCACCTGTCAGCATGTACTGATAGGCGTTGTCAGAGATGGAGAAGATGTGAGGTGGGGCCTCGCTTCTCTTCTTGCCCCGGTAGGCGGCCACCACCTCGGCATTGTACACTGGCAGCCACTTGTAGGGGTTGACAGTGACACAGAAGAGGCCAGAGTAGGTCTAGAAATAGAAAAAGTGGGTTTCCAGTGATGAAGTGGGGAGAGGTGATGATTTTCAGAGTTAAAGACCCCAGGGGAGGAGAAAGGGAAATGGAAAACTCTAAATGGGTTCTTGTGAGTCATGCCAGCCCAAGGCATTTGAATGGAGCAAGGATTTAGGGACTAATAGAGTGCAACACTGCCTGGGCACCAGAAGTAAATATTTTGGCTCAGGAGTGGAAACCCTTGGGTCAGGATGGTCCGTTCCAATGGAGAGCCTGGTGCCTCCACTCACGTAGATCATCCAGGAGGCGTAGCGCTCCTTAAGGTTGTACAGCACCGCCGGCTCGTGCAGGAAGGTCAGCATGGCCATGTCCTCAATCTTGTCAAACTTGGGTGGGTTCTGCTGCATCACCTGATCCTCCTTCACGGTCACCGTCTGCAACATCCCCCAGAGACCCTCCTGTCAGCCTGTGTTTCCCTTTCTCCCTCATCAGGGAAAGGAGGAGGGCATGTTACAAGACCCTGGTGTCCAGCAGGGAAGGAACCAGGATCTCACCCAGATTGGATGCTGGGAATGAGAAGGGCTCTTTGAGGGTTTGGATCTCTATCCAAAGGGAAGGAGACTCAGCCTGGCACAGTGGCACATGCCCATAATCCCAGAGGTGAGCCCATCCCAGGTGTGGGGATGTGGTAGACACCCACCTTGCCATTCTCAGTCTCAGCAGTGACTTTGCCACCTTCTCGAGACACAATCTTGGCCTTGACAAACTCTTCTTTTTCATCAGGCACAAAGACATCCTTCTTGAGGTCAAAGGGCCTGGTTTGGGCTTCCAGCCGCTCCTTCTCTGATTTGCGCAGGAAGGGGGCGGCAGCCCCAAACGCGGCCATCTCCGCATCCACCATGGCTGTGCCTAGAGTAAGTAGGAGAAGCTGTCTTTCCTCCCATTGCTCTCTCCTTTAGGTGGGAATCCCCAAACCTAGCACATGCTCAAGAGGAGTTACCAGTGAGTCCCTCATTCTTAACCAGAGAGCAGTCTAGCAAACCCACCAGGGTAGAAGGGACAACCAGCTTTTGTTCAGGCTAGGGCTGACCTAGGGGTCAGAAGAGTGTCTTGCACTGCTTCTGAGAGCAGGAATCTGACTACATCCATCTTTGACCCTCACCAACCTCTGCCCTCCCCCAGAAGTTAGAGATAAGCTGCTCTTGGTAGCCAAGATGTCCTCCCACAGGCAAGGCAGAAATGGGAGAGTTCCATAGCTTGGGTTTGGGGCTAAAATGCCCTGTCTTCCCAGATCCCTCACACTCTGTCTTCAGCTTTTCTTACATTGGTTTCTCAAATGTGTCTAGAGATGAGGAATGGAGCCCAGGCCTGCAGGGGACATGGAGAGTGACCCAACCTGACTAGCACCACTTCCCCTCTTCTCCCTGGCTCTGTCCTTTGGCACAACCACCCTTCCGTGGAACTGAATCAAGTTGGAAGTGGTGGTCAGCTTCTCAGGTCCCATGCTCTTTCTTCCTTTCCAAACACTATTTCATTTCCCCCAATAACTAGTTCTAACAGTTTCCTGGTGTTAATGCAACACTTGAGCCCCAATCCTCCCACTCTTGGGAGACAGTCCCACCTTCATATATACCCAGGCAGTGAAACTTTTTTTGAGTCACCTGAAAAACAATAGTGGTCACATTCGTTCAGGGTTTTCATTCAAAACACTTCTATGCACATTCACTTACTCAATCCTCACCCCACTGGACAGAAGAGGGAATCGGGGTTAAGTGGCTTGCTTGTCCAAGACAAAACAATAAGTAATAGAACCAAGTCTTGACCTTGAGCCTCATGACTCTAAAGCCAGTGCTTTTCCGTCCTGTCCCCATTTTGTCACTCTTTGTGGGCATTTTCAGAGAGAAGACACTGTGAGTGTCCTCATCCAGGTCCCCCATCACACAGCCTAACACTGCCACATGCTCTCTGATGAACACACATTCTTATGCACACATGTCACACAAAGACAGGCTTCCTTTTTATACCTCAGCACCTCCCCCCAGCATGCCACATGTTCTTCCACAACAGATGTGTATGTATGTGTATGTATATATATATATATATATATATATATATATATATGGCATAAATAGGCTTGTATGGCTGTGTGACCACAACCACGTGTCTGTGAGCTCTTTCTGCATGGTTACATACACTGCAACAGTCATGACTTCTG